TGCTGAAATAAAAAAAAAGAAAACCATTCTTGGATTTATTTAACTAATTTCATGTTGCTAGATAATTTTTTGGTTTCACACTTCAGTAAGAATACCTCTAGAGGCTAGAGGAAACAAAAGGAAAAAAAAACCTGCTGTTTTAGGAAGTCTTGGGTATGATCAGATCCTATGTTTAATCCCACTCCAGTCACAGAATAATGTGAACCACTTGGCTCAAGTTTTAAGATGCTTCCTTTTTGAGAATATAAGATTAGTATTAAATCAAGACACACAACTGTGTTGTTAACTGTTTACTTCAAGCACACCAGTTATAGGAAACAATAAACAGTGCATATCACAGGGAAAGAAAAGCATTCAATACATAATAGAGACAAAGTGGCTGTTATTAACTGTATAATAAGAGGTTAGTTCGATTGGGCTTAGCATGTTGTACTTTTGGTTCAATGCTTTCTGAGGACAGGGCAGGTGAAGGAAGAAAAGGGAATCAATGTGTTTTCTAACCCTAGGTTACCTCTGAGTAAACTGTGAAAGATAACTGCATTGTCACTACAAAGGAAAGCTGTGAAGATAAAGAACTAAGAAAGCTTTAAAATTCTTAAAAATCCAAGTATATACACATATATACACACACACACACCTGATTGATTACATTTTAAAATTTCCCTAAAGCCTAGCATAAATGTAAACAATTTACAGATAAAAATCCTGCTTGTGCAATAGGTGTTTCAGCAAAGTATGGCTGGAGAAAAAAAATGTTTGCAAACTGAATCAAGTCAAACACATTAGGACAACTTATGTAAAAAACCACTTCCATTAATCCTTTTGACAAACTGAAGATTATTTGTTATTAAAAGTAATCTTCTTCCATGATATAAAGGGTTCTAGATGCCGAGAGGTATGCACACTTTAAAACAGGGTTCAATGCAGCAAGATCCATGCGCAAAACTGTTTGGTCCTGTGCCCTATTTCTTAACCAACACTGGCTCTGATTCCTTTCCTCAAGCTCACCCATAATGGCTGGTTGTTCCTAATTTTCCTCTGGTTTTAGAACTCAGCCTACACCTCAACAATGGCAGGGAGCTTTGATCATCCTCCTAAATCCTGATCAAAACCCATTTCCCTCCTTTTGGCTTTGCTACTTGTTGGAAGTGACAGTGTAAGCAGTCCTGTCCTTTTAGCCTGAGCTGACTTCCCAATCCACCTCTTTTTCCCCCTCCCTATTCCTTTGCTACCTCTGCTCAACTTGTTTGTTTCATAAGCCTAGATTTTTATCTACTTTTTTTCTTCAAAGTTGAAATCACCTGGACTTATTTCTAGGGGCTCTTCTACTTGTTCAAAGGAAGAAAAAAAATCATTAACTAGCACGGAGCAAAATAGCTAAGGTATAGCACAGAAGTTCTCAAAGTGTGGTACTTGAACTAGCAACATCAGCATCACTTGATAATTTGATAGAAATGAAAATTCTCTAGTTACCCCAGGCCAACTGAATCAAAAACTCTGGAGGTGGCCCAGAACTCTGTATTGTAATACATGTTCTGGGCAATTTTCATGTACATTAAAGTTTAAGAACCTCTGGGTCTGAAGAAAAGACGTCTGACAAATGTTTTGGATAAAATGAGGCATCTCATTAAAAAGAATCAAGTCTATATTATTGACACAGAAGAATATCTAGGATATTCTACATAAAGGAAAAAGCAATTGTAAAGCTACAGGTATAAATCTGCAAAAAAATTTTGAAAGTCTATTTCTACATGGAAAAATGTCTAGAAGGTTACATACTAAATTGTTAACAGTGGCTAACTTGTGGGAGATTTATTCTACTTTTTCTTTATGAATATCTGTATTTTTAAATCTATAAACATTATTATTTTATAATTTAAAAAAATGATTAATTCAGGCATCTTCTACTGATCTCCAGCAAAACTCAGAGGTAAAAATTAACTCATTACCCAGTAAGCTTCAGTGTCTGGACTAATCAAGCTTTATGATGCTTTAGGGAATTCTAGAGGAAGTGTGGCAGAGATAGTGCTCAGTCCTCCATGACTCAATCAGTGCTTCTATGTAAAGCCTCTGTGACAGGAAATGACAAAAGTCACAAAGCCTAAGGGATTTTTGCCCTTCTTAAATAGGCCAACTCAAAAAGGGCACGGTAGGGCTCTGTGGGAAAACAGAAAAGTCAGAAAACTTTGGTTGTCTTGGAAGATGCCAATTTATTTCTAGGAAAATCTTCTTTGTTGAAGAAATTATATATTTAAGTGACCCATTTTTTACCCCCATTGCTGACATGGCAGTTGTTCTACAGTTAGGTTCATCCTTCTTCAAACTGGCTCCAAGTATATACAGCATATGCTTGTGGTAGACTAAGAAGAGGCTTGAAAATAAAATAGGTTGGTAGTAAATGACCCAGGGCAAAAGAAAGAATAGGTGAAAGAGAGGTGCCAGTATACAAATATACCCAAGATCAAGTCAGGTCCTTACAAATATCCTTTACCTTATGATGCATCAAGGGAAAACCCTGACACTTCCAGGGATTCCTCTCATGCAACCACTCAATCCTTTCACTTCTGGCAAGCTTTCCATCAGAAGCACTATATGCATTCATAAAGGCTTCCAAAGCACTTTACCTGTATTATCGTCATACACAGAGAACACTCAGTGTGATTTGTATGCATCCTCTCCCTCTTCATAATCTGCCCTGCTAATTATAAATTTGGCAGAAACAGAATATGGTTGTTTTCCCGCAGAACAGGAGTTGCCCCAGAAACCAGAGAAACTTGGTAAAAGCTTTCAATAACTTTTAACTGGAAGCCTTGGCTCCCCCTCCTCCACTACCCTGAGAAATTTTTAAATGTTGACCATTTTTTCAATTGGGTGGGGGTTCAGGTGCCTCACCTCTTACCTTTCCCAACCTACTATCATTCATTTATTCAAAATCTATCTTCTTGTTACCTAATGTATACAAGGTTCTGTGTTATGTGCCTGAGAGGTGAGAAAATATATATGTATAAAATATTTACAGATTAAATAACAAGTATCTAAAATTTGCTTCCAGATAATAAGGAAAGTAAAAAGATGGAACAGAATGGGACAGAATTGGCCATGAGTTGATGGATTGATTGTTGGAGCTGGATGATGAATCCTTGAGGGTTCACATTATTGATCTATCTGCTTTCATGTGCATTCAAAGTTATCTATAGTAAAATTTTTTTAAACACACACACACACACACACAAAAAGAAAAGCTTTCAGTAACTTTTAATAAGTGGTTCATCCTAACTAAAGGAAAAACTTTTATCAAGGGTCCTCCTACTTTGAGCTACAAAAGTTGATAAAGGTTACCCCAACTTTTTCTATCTACCAAGATACTCTCTACTTCTGAAACCCTAACTGCACCAGAAGACAAGAGATCTTACCAATGTCCCCAATACTTTAATCAGTATACGAAGAGAAATTTATTTTTGTGGCTGTAGCCAGCTTTTGAAGACTTTACCACTGTCTGTGGCTCTGCCACACATTGTGTTTCAGTTTAGAAAACGGCAGCACAATATGATTCTGCGGCAGAAAGGAGATAAACTCCAATGCTTGTTTGCAGCACGACACAAAATAAAGGCACTGGAGTCAGAGTTTGAATTCCACCTCTATATTATATTAGTATTGGGCAGATGAGTCTACCTCTGTAAGTCTCAGGATTCTTATCAATAAATTAGGAATAAAATGCTACTTTACAGTGTTGTCAAAATAATTAAAAATATTTAAGGGGAGAGCGGGAATGAGAATTTGGCATTTAATGGGTATAGAATTTCAGTTAAGGATAATAAAAAATTCTGGAGGTGGACAGTGGTGATGGTTGTACAACGAAGTGTGGCATGCTCATAATCCCAGCTCTTTAGAAGACTCAGGCAGGCAGATCACTTGAGGTCAAGAGTGCGAGACTAGAAACAGCTGGGTGTGGTCTATGTGCCTGTAATCCCAGCCACTCAGGAGGCTATGGCAGGAGAATGGCTTGAACATGGGAGGCGGAGGATGCAGTGAGCTGAGATCATGCCCCTGCACTCCAGTCTAGGCAAAAGAGTGAGACTCTGTCTCAAAAAAACAAAAAACAAATAAACAAAAAAGCCAAAGTGTATGTACTTAATGCCATTGAACTATAATTTTTTATGTATATTTTAGTACAATTATGTAAGAGTTTCAGCAAAGTGCCTGGATCTCGGTAGATACTCAAGAAATGCTAGTCCCATTCCTCTTTTAAAAAAAAAAAAGACCTACAGTAAAATAAAATAAAATCATGCTCCTTTCCCTATTTGTGAAAAACTCTGATTCTAAGGCAAAGCCAGATGGCCCCAATACCAGGTAGTGCCACAATAAGTGTATGGGTAGGAAGGAGAAGGGAGTCTGTATTAGTCACAGTCCCTCCAGCATGTTCAGTTCCCAGTTTACTTCCACCCTGTTATGGTGTCTCCCAGAATATCAATCTTCTAGACCCTAACATATTTAAAAAAAAAAAAAAGTCTGGGACACTGAAACCAGTTCCCAAACCAGACTCCAGATCATGAGAAAAAAAGTATTCTGAGTGGCAGCTGGCTCCTGGAAGCAGAGGAGAGATAAGACGCTAGTGCTGAACACCAACTAGATGAGTCCGGATCCTATTCCAGTCCCTGGCATTAAGATGATCAGTATTTCTCTCAGATGCCTTTGGCTGCATTTAATGGACACAGAGGACCAAAGTCTCAAAGAACCCTGGTAAAGGAAGATTAAAAATGCACTTGTCTGCAGTTCAGGGAAAACAATTAATGATTATGTGTCGTAAGTCATAAAATAAAGAAGGGGAAAAATAGATGACTTATCTTTAGGCATGTCAGGACACGGTTTCTGATGGACAGGCTTAATTAAATTTTAATGCAGTGTTCAGAAAGATGATCATTAATGCCCCACAAATTTAGCTCAGGGAAAATAAAATGCTTAGAGTGTCAACATCCAATCAATTCCAAAACAATACTTACTTTAGGGTCTGAGCTCTTGAACTTCAACCTTTCCACCAATTCGATCATAGCTGCCTTCAGTCCACCTGAGTCTTTGCTCTAGAAGAAAGAAAAATGAGAGGTCACCAGACAGTATTTTGTTGCTCTCTCAAACACAAACAGCATTTTGGAGGACAATGAAATAGAAAGCAATTTTTTTTCTTATCAGCCAAGAGAGCTTAACAACTAAGGAGAGGTGCATTTCCCCGCTTCCCCTTCTCTATAGACAAAAAGAGTCAGGACACAAATTGCCCAGTGACTGGAAGAACTATAAGGAATAAAAATTAAATACAATTTGCATAGGCTGACTCACTGCTTCATCTCAGGCTCAACTGTGCTAGTGCTCACTGCAGCTCTATGTAACAGTTCCACACAAGATATCTATTTTATAGAATAGTAATTTTTATTTTGAACCTTTATGCATCAGATATAGCCGTATGCAGTATTAAATATACTTATAAAAATAAAAACAAAGAAAATAGCCCGAAATTTAATTATGAATGGAACTGCAGTGTAGTGATTAAGAACACATGTTTTTTAACTGGGTATGGTAGCTTGCACCTGTAATTTCAGCTACTCAGGAGGTTGAGGCAGGAGCACTGCTTGAGGCCAGGAGTTCAAGACCAAAAAACCCACAAAACTGACAGGTTTTTGAGTCAGACATATATAGTTCCAATTTTGGATTTGCCATTAACTAGTTAATTAACTAGTTAATTAATCTGAGGCAAATTACTAAATTTTTCAAAACCTTCTCCTCCTTCTATAAAATAGGGATAATAAACCAGGCTATTTTGGGGCCCAATTAAAGCACTGTTTTAAAAGGTATTAGCACAGTATGTGGCACACAGTGAGTGCTCAAAAATTTCACATGCTATTACTATTATTACAGTATAATCATTTAGAGTAGTGCAGTAAAGTAAAAGACTAATGTCAGCCCCAAATGCAAGCATATGTATATAATTTTATAGTAGCCGCAATTAAAAAAGTAAAATTGATTTTGATATATTTTACTTATTATATTCAAAATATCATTAAAACATGTAATTTCAACATGAGATTTTTTTTTTCATGCTAGGTCACTGAAATCTAGTATTTCACAATTTTCATGCTAGGTCACTGAAATCTAGTATTTCACAATTACAGACCAATCAACTTAAACCAGCCACATTACAAGTGCTCCAAAGCCACATGTGACAAGTGATTACTATATTGGTCAGTACTAATGGTCCTAGTGCCATTAGTCACACACTAGCTGTGTGACCTTAGGCAAGTTACTTAGCCTCTTGATGACTCAATTTCTTTATCTGTAAAATGGAACTAATAACAGTATCTATTTCACAGGACTGTAGTAAAATTAAATTAGTTAATGTATGCCAAGGTGCTCAGAACAAAGCCTAGAACATAGTAGATACAAAAGGAAGTATGAAACAGTTTTATTACTGTCTCCCTCACGATGTTTTCAGTTCCTTAAGGGTAAGAAGTATGTTTTATATCTCTGTATCTCTTATGCCCAGCATCTAGAAGTTGTAAAAAAGTCTGAACAAATCAATGAATGAACATATAACCTTAAGACATGAATGCCCTAATAATAATACATTACACTGTATATAGGACAATCTAAAATCACAGGAATTCATTTGTTTTATCTCAACAACTCTATGAGATAGGCAGGACCATTCATTTTACCAATGAGGGAAAGGAAGCACAAAGAGGTAAAATCACTGTCATTTTTATGGGGGAAGGGAAAACAAAGAAGCACAAGAATAAACAGACACTGCAAATAGCTCTTACTCAAAATTGGCCTCTGAATCAGTGATAACATATCTTCCAAATTTACAGAACTAATTTCAATTCCTCCAAAATAGGAAATACCAAATAAGATTCCATTTTATAAATTAAAAGATACAAAAGGCTCCATTTTTACCTCTCTGACCTTTCTTGCCTCTCAAGACTACACAGTAAAACTCAGACGTAACATGCCTACAACCAATATCTACTTTAGATGTGCTCTCCAAACACAGCTTAGATCACATTTCCGTTTTAGCAGTCATTCTAAATTTTAATAAGTTCTGTTTTTTAAAATGATGGTTTACAACTTGCCTAATTCCACCACTACTTTTAGTCTTTAATCTCTGTAGTCTCACAGCAGACAGTTGAGAAAAGGAACTTAGAAGTCACATACCAGGGAGCAGATGAGACCTGAAGTGCCTAAAAAAGGGTTAAGTTGCCAGACACAATCCTGCTTTTATGAGATGATCAGACAATAAAGGCTGTCTGGTGATATCATTCCTCTAACCTGCTTCTCATTGGCTGAACAAGCAGGTCACTTGTCCCTGGAAAGCTCTCTTCCCCCATATCCCAGCTGCCAGCTCCCATTTTAAGCTCTTCAGCAAGAGCCCTGATATATTATGGCTTTATCCCGGCTCTAGAGAACAGAAAGGAATGCACCAAATTGTGCCTTAAAACCTGCAGAAAAGAATAAAACGACAACGAAGGAATCCCTAAGAAGCAGACAGCCTGTCTGCAGGCAGATGTGCCTCGTGTAAACGCATAAGGGAACCCTAGCCTCCTTTCATAAAAATTCAGTGTGTCAACAGAATCTTTCCTCCTTTTCACAAAGCACCAGCAGCATCCCCTAACCAGGGAAGAGACAGAGGAGAGGAACCTAAAAGAGCCTCCCTTAAGGAAACTCACCTGTTCCACCTCCCCAACCCACTCTCTGTGAATTATTCACAAAGATTAACTGGGCTCTATGGTGAGCCGGCTATACTCAGTCTCTAAATGAGTGGTGAAGAAAACCTTACCCAAAGGATTTTTAAAAACCATAAAATAAGCAGTTGGTCCGAAGGGAGAGGCTCCTCTGGGCAGACCTGACCCTGACAGCTGCAGAACTGGGGCAAGAGTCCAAATGGAGGACTCTGGCCCCAATCCACTCCCACCACTTTCCCCACATTCCAATCCCTTTCTGCACCCCAAGGAGCCTTGTGCACATGTGTTCAAGCTAGCATGTCCAAGCTTAGAGTATCCCTCTTGGTCACCCCTGATACATATGTGGGACCTAGGGATACATGTGTCAGAGGCTGGTCCATCTTCAGGCAGATGGACTCAGGAAGAGGCTCTGCATGCCCTGCAAGCAAGCTCACGCCACTTTACCAGGTAATTCTTAGGTAGCTAGGTACTGGAAGAGTGGTATGGAATAGCACAGTCATGGCTACAGGAGGGGTCTTCAAAAGCATGGGACATAGCCCAATTACTGGGGAGGCTGAGGCAAGAGAATCGCTTGAACCCAGGAGGTGGAGGCTACAATGAGCTGAGGTCGTGCTGCTGCACTCCAGCCTGCATGACAGAGCAAGATTCCATCTCAAAAAAAAAAAAAAAAAAAAAAAAGCATGGGAGATAGGTCAGGTGCATGAGGCTGTTTGCGTTTAAGGGTGGTGGTATCTGCGTCTGAGTATCCCCAAACCATAGAATAGTACCATGTTTTGGTTGTTTGTTGAGGACAGCCATTAATCAAAAGATAGCCAGACAAGAGATTATACCCTCATATGTTCCCTAGTTAGGGAACTAGTGAACAGAACAGCTAGTGGAACAGAACAGCTGCCTCTGAATCCTGAGTTCTAATTGAGAAATCAACCAGGACAATAACAAAAGGCAGACATTTGGTTCCATAGTAGAAATGATTATCAATCCTTGGGGCACACACCATGACTAGCAAATCAGCAGGATTCTCCTGCTCTCCGTACTTCTCCACCTCCATCCCACCCAATGCATTCCAAGAACACAGGAGTTCAATGGGAGCATATCTTGTTTATGTACCTTGTTCCTCCCCTAAGAAGGTGTAGAATAAAAAGAGACAAGTGCTACATTGTGACCCCCACCACTCAGAATTTGACTAATCTGTAGAAGCGTGGGATGCTTCACAAAAGCCAGTTCCTAGGAATGAATCATAATAAAAGCAAGAAAGGACAAAATGGTGTACATGTGAAGGTATTCTTTAGTCTCCAAAGCACTTTCACATACTCTTTCATTGGCATTTCACAATAACCCTAAAAAGCAGTGTATTCTCATTTTACAGCTGAGAACAATGGCTGGTGAAAATCAAATGAATCAAAAAATCAGAGAGCTTTTACTCTTTCACTGGCATTTCACAATAACACAGTAACTGAAAGGTAGTGTATTCTCACTTCACAATAAATGAAAATGGCACTGTGGAAGACAAACAGTGGCCCCCAAATCACAGAGATGATCAATGACAAAACCAGGATCAGAAAGATCTAAACGAAAAAGACTCATAGCATATATGATCGAAGACACTGGTATCAAGAATATACAAAAAACACATAAGGAATTTCTATAGATCAGTAAGAAAAAGCCAAATAACCCCAAAAGAAATCCCCCCAAAATATGAACAGATAAAACCTGTCTCAAATAAACATACTAGAAATGTGAAATACAAACACATCAGAACATGCAAAAGATGCGCAAACTCACTAATAATTAAAAGATCATTTCTTACCCATCAGTCTGAAAAAAATGTAAATCTCCTAACAGCAAGTGTTAGGCCCTGGGGAAATTGGAGACTTCCACATGTTGTTGGATATGTAAAATTACTGCCACTCTGAAATCACATGCCTACCAATCTACTTCTCTTTTCCTCTTGAGAAAGACTCGCATCTGAGTCACGGATACATGTACAAAAGTATTTATTGTAGCATTGTTTGTAATACTAAAAATCTGTAAACGTCCCAAGGATTCATCAAGAGTGGGTGGCTAAGCAAGCCGTGGAATTAACAAGCTGTGGAAAATGACATAGCAAATAAAAAGAATAAGGTAGTCTGTATGTACCTGGCTACAAGGCATGATATACTGTTGAATTAAAAAAGAAAAACCTTGCAAAATGGTACATGTAACAAATACATTTTAAAAAAGGATTATTTTCTCTGAGTGATATAGAAGGATGTAAAGTATTAGAAAATCAATTATTGCTTTTAAATTAGTTAAATTCGTTAATGTACGTCAGGAACTAGTACTTGGGATAGAAGAATTTTAGAGTTAAATAT